GTTTTCCAGGACAGAGACTTTGATGTCAGTTGCTGGAGAGTACAGAACGTTGCATACAGGAAACACTGCTCAGTAAGTCAGCCGGGTACCTGCTTTTCGTGCCAGACATAGTTAATGCATAGTATTAATATGCATAGTATGCAGAAACTTAATACTCCCATTGTTGGCCAGTACTACACTTTGTTAATAGAAGAACAAAGTTTCTTGAAAATTTAAACATAGAGGTTATTATCTCAAATCAAAGTTTTTCTTTAATATCATAGTCTTTTATAGTCCTTCACAAATAGGTTTTTGCCCTCCACATTCTTTGCATCTGAAACATCCAGGATTTCGCTTGTTATGCAGAGAAGGCAATTTTCCTTAAGACAATAGTTTTCCCAAGTCAGCTTTGGCTCCTAACAAACAGAAGTGATTTACTTCTGCATTCTTCCAAGATGTTTTTCTCTAATTGATTAAAGATCTAAAATATATCCCTGTGATCCTTTAGAAGTTGCTAATAGTTGTGCATTCAGGGTAGTGAGGTGGCTGGAAAAATGCCCTCTGCCCTGCCATCAGGCATTATGAACATTTCTCTCTTGGTTACTTCTTTCTCTCCCCCCTTTCTTTTAGAAGGCACTTGACTTCACCTGCATTTAATAAATAATAAAATATGATGCTGAATACAGACTGTGTGGTTCTGGACCACTGCTACCAGAACTGTCAGTCTTAGCATCCTTCACTATTGGCCATGCTGATAGAGGCTTCAGGAATTGTAATTCAGTTATGTCTGGATAACTAGCAGTTGCCTACTACTGAATTAGCTCTTTCATTCCTGCTTAAGCAAACTTTTTATCTCCATATTTGAGTATGAAAATACATTCTTCACCAAGTAGTTAGACATGCCTGACAATTATTCCCAAAGGTACTGTTGTGGTCATTTTGTTCTATTAACTCTATTTAATTATATGGGTCCTGGAAGCATCCATCCTTAACATTTGCAAACTAGTGAAGACTTATTTTCTATTCCAATTCCCTGCTTCCAATGAATGGCTAATGAGGCCAGTTATTTATAAATCTATCCACAACTAAAAACAAGTTGAATATGCTTGGGTAGAAGAATTTATTCCTTAGGATCAATGTAGATGATTTTTTTTCTCATAATTAAATCTGATTGATCATTATCTATGGAATCATGAAAGGTTAAGCTTCCCAAATCAGACATGTACTTTGGGAGAAAAAGTTTAGCTAGCGAGTGCATATTCTACTCAGCATTTCATTGCAAAGCCCGATCAGTTATGTAAAAATCGCCTTCAAATAGTTCATTTCAATTCTGCTGTAGCAGTTTGGATTGCAACTTATTTGCCAGTTTCTAGACAAGTTACTTGTCCTGAAATAATGGGTTATTCTCTTTAAAATAATAATTGGTTCTGCTATAAAGAAGTCATTTCAGACCAAAACAGCAAAGAAGTCAAGTATCTATAACCCCCACAAAATTTATTCGGGATTTTAAACGTTTGTCCCATTGTAGGAAGTCAGCCCCAGAGAAGGAAATATTAAAAAGGGCAGAAAAATATATTTCCTTCAAGGATCTTAAAGAGACAGAAAGGCATGCCAAGTTTTCCTTGATAGCCCCAGGTCTCCCTCCCCCAAGCAGAAGCTAGCCCTGTACAAATGCAGATGCAAACCACCAGAAAGCCCCCAGCTAGGAGATCAAGAAGACAAAGACCTAAAATCTGCATACCCCACCCAAACTCTAGGAGCCGTTAGCCCCATCACCAGGGAAGCAGAATATGATAATAGGATTAACCCATCACCATAAAGAATACCAGAGAGGCACACCTAAACTCAGGTCAGAATACGTGACACAGGAAATAGCTTCAAAGTTCATGCCACAGGAACAGGAAACTATTCCAAACAAAAGGCTAGAGAGGGTATAAAAACCTACTACCCATGTGCTCAGCCCTTCTTTTTCTCTAGTCTTTCCTGCAAAAACCATCTTTCTGCCTCTTCAATAAACTTCAACCTTCTTCCCAAAGCAGTTGCCATGTTGTTTATTTATTCCCGGCTTGGATGAACCAGGATGAAGACTTTTCTTTCAACACCATCACAAAGGAACAAAAATATTTTTTGTCAAGGGTTTTTTGTATCTTATGATATCTGAAAAATAGTGCAAGTTTCTTTAAAAATTATTGTCAACACTGCTAACATCGGATGTTCTTGCTGTGAAAATATACGAAGATGCAGACATTTTCTGTTTAACCTGTGTATTACTTTTAGAGTTAGAATTAGATGGTGCTGGAGGGGAGGGGGGAAGAATGTGCAGAGGGATTAGTTAGCCATAACAATACCTCAGTAGAGTATTCTTCAAGGTTGTTTGTAATAAGAGGAGATAAGAAATGGAGGGTTAAGCAACTGGAGGGAAAGTTTGCACTTCAAACTAACTGGAGAATGTGATTAATGACTGTTAAATGAAGGAGTGAATTATGCTTAGATACTATGTGTTTAGGGGAGGAGAATTTAGATTTTGGCTTCACTTATGTATGTACTGAAGCTATGTTGCTTCATTAAAGATTCTTTAAGGTAAACAATGCCTCAAAGTTCTTTGAAGAGCTTCTTCCTTTGGAACCATGACAATTATATTGGGTTAGAAAGTTTTATACTTGGCACTTCCAAGGTAGCTTTCAGAGGTTGGACCATTCTCCACTTGGGTCTAACTATAGTGTGAATATGACAGTGCTTGGCACCCTTTTTATTCTGCTGTGTCTCCATGATGTCCTAAAACCAAGAATGAGTCAAGCTCCAATTGTTCTTATTTATTCCATTTTTACAATAGTGTTTTCCCCTTAAACTGGTGAGAATCCACCATGGTTTCAAGATATGTAAGAAATTTCAGACTGTTCTGTCTGTAGCAGTCAAGAGGTATGATGACAGCACAGCACTTATTGGTTACTTTAGTCTGGTGTGCACATGACTTCTCCCCTAATTCTGATACTCTTTCTCTCTCTCCCCTCCTCTCCAAAAGGAGACTGCATAGCTGCCTCTGTATCTGAGGCTATCTGTTGCTGATGGAATGCCTGATTGATGGCTATAGGAGCAGCACAGTGAAAGAGAAAAACACAGTTGTCTTGAAACCTCAGGAATCAAGTTTGGAAACTATCCTGCCAATGATCTATCAATGGCTAGACAAATATACCAAATCATACTGCCATGCAAACCAAGAAAATGAAATAACAAGAACAAAATGGAGTGGGTGAGGAAAACAGAGCTGAGGAATCAAATATTTTGCTTAATATGACTTATATAGGTGCACAATCAAATGATGACAATTTGACTGTGATTTAAAATAGGCACCTTGGAACTAGGATAGTGATCACCAGTGGAAGCAGCCAATTTTATGCCAGAATAGTTTTTTTTTCCAACTCAGAAATTGAAGGTTCAACTCAGTAGTAGGTTTTGGATTTAAAACAAACAAAAATATAGAAAAAAAGAGAAATAGATAAAAGGGAATTTTGATTCCCTTTTCCAGTCCTGATTCCAGTCCAACCTATCAAAAACACCGTACCATAAAAAACAGATTAGAGACACAAGTTAAGATAGGCAAGGAAATGGTAAGTGAGCACCTGTCCACCCTAGACGAGTTCAAATCACCAGGACCAGATGGATTATACCTCAAGGTTCTGAAAGAACTGGCAGATGTGATCTCAGAACCACTGAACTATATCTTTCAAAGTTCCTGGAGCACTGGGGAACTACCAGAGGACTGGAAAAGAGCTGATGTACTTCCTATCTTCAAAAAAAGGGGAAAAATGGATCCAGGAAACAAAGTAATTACCAAAAGCCAACATGGGTTTGTCAAAAATAGATCATGCCAGACAAATCTTATTGCATTCTTTGACCAGGTGACAAAATTAGTGGACCAGAGGAATGCTGTTTACTTGGACTTCAGTAAGGCATAAAGTAGACCACAACCTACTACTTGATAAGATAGAAAAATGTGGGTTAGACAGCATCACTACCAGATGGATTTGTAGCTGGCTGTCCGACCATACTCAGTGTGGGGTCCTCAGTGGAACTATATCTACACAGAGGGAAGTGCGTTGTGTGGTGCCCCATGGCTCTGTTCTGGGCCCAGTGCTCTTCAACATCTTCATCAATGATTTGGATGAGGGGATAGATGGGGAACTCATCAAATTTGCAGATGACATCAAGCTGGCAGGAATAGCCAACACTCCAGAAGATAGGCTTAAGATACAGAATGATCTTGATAGAATTGAACATTGGGTGCTATCTAACAAAATGAAATTCAATGGTAAAAAAAGTAAGGCTCTACATTTAGGAAAGAAAAACCAAATGCACAGGTATAGTATAGGTAAGGGGTGGGGAAGCTTGACTCTTTTATGACTTGTGGACTTCAACTCCCAGAATTCCTGAGCCATCCATGCTGGCTCAGGAATTCTGGAAGTTCAAGAAACTAAGGAGAAAGTTAGAAAAAGTAACCAGTGGAACAACCTGCCTCCAGAAACTGTGAATGCTTCAACACTGGAAATTTTTTTTAAGAAGGAATACAATACATTAATTAAAGCTTTATAGCCACAATATTGTATGAATGAGGCAAAAGGCAACAGGGTCAGTTTAAAAGTACAAAAACACTGAAGGAAATTAGATTTATTTATTTAGCATATAGCATACAAGGCCAGGGAGACTACAATGTTACACACACAGTAGAGGTCCTGGCAGTTGACAGTTGCTAATCCATTTATTTTACCAGTGCATCACAAGAAGACAACTAGGTTCACACCTGCAGCATTCTCAGAGGAAGTTGGCTCATCTGAGACTTTCCTCCACTGCTCTTCCGCCAATCATATTTGGGCAGATCCAGCACTTGTTCCAGCTCCCCATGCAAAATGCAGCCAGCAATTTCCCATCACCAAAATGGTGGTATCTATCTATCTATCTACTGACCAACAATGCTTTTGAACTGCTAGGTAGGCAGGAGATAGGGACAAGAGATGGGAGCTCACCTGTCCCACAGAGATGGACTCAAATCACAAGAATGCTGATAACTGCTCAGCGCATCCAGCATCATTAAGCTCCTGTGCCATCACATCCCTAGGAAATTAGAACAAATTAAGTACATGGTAGAATATTTTACATTTTAAAAAAAGCTAATTTAACTTCCATCTACCGTATATGCCGCCGTATTAGGTGACCCGGCGTATAAGACGACCCCCGTCTTTATAGCCAGGCCGCATTCCTAGAACATCGTCTTATACGCCGGAAACTACCAGTATTTCCGGCGTATAAGACGACTCGGCGTATAAGACGACCCCCGTCTTTGGCGCCGATTTCAGCACTCGCGGAAGTCGTCTTATACGCCGGCATTTATGGTAAATATATATGGCACACAAATCACACCTGTTCTTTGAGGCTATTCTAAAAAAACTTATATTAAAGTCAGTGGAGAAAATATCCCAATTTTATACTTTTGTTTCAATAAATGAAATCATAGTAATGATCCCACTGTCTTTACTTTCTGGGACTTCATTCATATATGTAAGTACTCAGTGACTTGCTCATTTACAGCTGAAGAGGTGTGAACTGCTGCTTCTCTTGAAATTGTGATGGAGGTAATGTGAGATGTTATGAACACTGCCTGTGGCATCATGATGATTGTTTCACATATTCAGGTCATTACAAATACATTTGCATGCATTCATCTATCATTCCTCTTGTTTCTCTCATCCTACCCTTGCATCTTATCTCTCCCTATTCCAATATTAGATCTTCCTTTTTTATCTTTTCCCCACATATTATTCATAATATGAAAATAATATACATTTGGTATCTTGTGCATTGAATAAGGGTATGCAGAATTGCCTCTATTAAATTACTCTAGGCAGTTTGTTATTAAAAATGACATTGCATCTTTTGTTGCTTTTCATAGTAGATTTAGAACCATTGTACTTTCCTTGTTGATTGTTTTTTATAGGAGGCCCAGATAACCTTTTGCTACCTCTAATTTTGCTATTTTCAGCCAAAACAGGAAGGTTATTTAGAATAGAATGGAATAGAATAGAATAGAATAGAATAGAATAGAATAGAATAGAATAGAATAGAATAGGATAGGATAGGATAGGACAGGACAGGACAGGACAGGACAGGACAGGACAGAACAGAACAGAACAGAATAGAATAGAATAGAATAAGTTGGAAAGGAGGTCTTCTAGTCCAACCCCCTGCTTTAGTCCAACTCCCCCCCCCACCATTTCAGATAAATCTTCTTAATAATTTCCAGTGTTGGAGCATTAACAAATTCTGGAGGCAGGTTGTTCCACTGATTAATTGTTCTGACTGTCATGAAATTTCTCCTTAGTTCTAGGTTGCTTCTCTCCTTGATTAGTTTCCATCCATTGCCCCTTGTCCTGCCCTCAAATGCTTTGGAGAATAGCTTGATTCTCTCTTCTTTGTGGCAGCCCCTGAGTTATTGGAACACTGCTATCATGTCACCTCTAATCTTTCTTTTCATTAAACTGGACATATCTAATTCTGGCAACCGTTCTTTATATGTTTTAGCCTCCAGTCCACTAATCATCTTTGTTGTTCTTCTCTGCACTCTTTCTAGACTTTCAACATCTGTTTTACATCATGGTGACCCAAACTGGACGCAATATTCAAAGTGTGGCCTTATAAAGTAGTATTAACACTTCACATGATCTTGATTTTATTCCTGTGTTAATGCAGCCTAGAACTGCGTTGGCTTTTTTGGCAGCTGCAGCACACTGCTGGCTCATATTTAAGTGATTGTCCACTAGGACTCCAAGATCCCTCTCACAGTTACTACTATGGAGCCAGGTACCACCTATACCACAGGTTGGCAACCTGCGGCTCCGGAGCCACATGCGGCTCTTTGAGCCTTCCCCTGCGGCTCCCAGCCTCCTCTGCCTTTGCAGAGAGAGACAGAGACAGAGAGAGAAATTGCGCTTCCCTGCCCCTCTCTCTCTCTCTCTCTCTCTCTCTCTCTCTCTCTCTCTCTCTCTCTCTCTCTCTCTGTGTGTGTGTGTTTGTTTGTGTGTGTGTGTGTGTGTGTGTGTGTGTAAAAAAAGAGAGTGCACTCACAGTATTCTCCGAGGAGCTGAAAAGCTTACTGGGCGGAGCTCTTCCCTTTGCTGCATCTCTGCAGGAAGCAGGAAGGGCAGGAGAGAGCTAGCTAGCCCAGCTAGGCTGACTCAGGAATTCTGGGAGTTGAAGTCCATGAGTCATAAAAGAGACGAGGTTGCCTACCCCTGATCTTGTTGGACAACAGCCTGAAGCTTGTCAGGTGAGCAGCAGATAGGAGAGGGGGGGGAGAAAGAGAGAGAGAGAAAGAGGAGAGAGAGAGAGAGAGAGAGAGAGAGAGAGAGGAAAGAGAGAGAGAGAAAGAAAGAGAGCGGGGGAAGAGGAGTGGCAGACCAAGGGCAGATAGAGAGGGAGGGAGAGAGAGACAGAGAGAGAGAGAGAGAGACCCTTTTGACATCTAAAATGAAGATAACACTGCATATATCCTTTTTTTTACCTGTGTGTGTGTGTGTGTGTGTGTGTATACACATACATATATACATATACATATACATATATATACACACACACATACATACACACACACAAACACACACACACCTATAATAAAGGTAAAAAAGGATATATGCAGTGTTATCTTCATTTTAGATATCAAAATGGTTTTGTGGCTCCCAGTGTTTTGTTTTTGGTGGGAAACGGGTCCAAGTGGCTCTTTAAGTGTTTTGGGTTGCCTACCCCTGACCTATACTATACCCGTGCATTTGGTTTTTCTTGCCTAAATGTAGAACCTTACTTTTTTCACCATTGAATTTCATTTTGTTAGATAGTGCCCAATGTTCAAGTCTGTCAAGATCCTTCTGTATCTTAAGCCCATCTTCTGGAGTGTTGGCTATTCCTACCAGCTTGATATCATCTGCAACTTTGATGAGTTCCCCATCTATCCCCCAAACCAAAACATTGATGAAAATGTTAAAGAGTATTGGGTCTAAAAAAGAGCCTTGAGGTATCCCACTGCATACTTCCTCCCTGTAAATGCAGTTCCATTGAGAACTACACTTGAGTGTGGTTGGTGGTGGTGCTATCTAACCCATTTTCTATCTTATTAAGTAGTAGGTTGTGGTCTACTTTACCAAATGCCTTACTGAAGTCCAAGCAAATTATATCCACAGCATTCCTCTGGTCCACTAATTTTGTCACTTTGTCAAAGAATGCAATAAGTTTTGTCTGGCATGGTCTGTTTTTGACAAATCCATGTTGGCTTTTGGTTATGACTTTGTTTGCCTCTAGATGTTCATTGATTTGTTGCTTGATTATTTTTTTCAGAATCTTCCCAGGTACTGAGGTCAGGCTGATAGGTCTGTAGTTTCCTGGATCCATTTTCCCCCTTTTTTGAAGATGGGAAGTACATCAGCTCTTTTCCAGTCCTCTGGTAGTTCCCCAGTGCTCCAGGATCTTTGAAAGATATATTTCAGAGGTTCTGAGACCCTGTTTGCCAGTTCCTTCAGAACCTTGGGCTGTAATCCATCTGGTCCTGCTGATTTGAACTTGTTTAGGGTGAACAGGTGCTCATTTATTATTTTCTTGCCTATTTTAATTTGTGTTTCTAATCTGTTTTTTATGGTACTTTTTTGATAGGTTGGACTGTTTTTTCTTCTTGTGTAAAGACCAATGCAAAAAATAAGTTAAGCAGTTCTCCCTGTTTCTCCCTGTTACTTGTCACCTTCTTGCTAATTTCTCCCATTAATGGACCAATCGTTTCCTTGAATTTTTTTTATTTTTTACATGTTGAAACAATATTTCAACATGTAAAGGGCTGAGCATGTAAAGGTTTTTCAGCAATATTGTCTCAGACTTGCCAAATGTGACCTATATTTTTTAAAAGAGATAATTTAAGAAGGACAACTGTCTCTTTACTCCTCTCTGACATCCCTGTTATGTTCCACATTGGATCTGTACACACAAACCACTAAATCCAGTTTGCTTGATTGAGATTTGGCACATTGTGTATAAGAATTTGGGGTTTATTCCAATGTACACCCAGACACTATTGAAATTATTCAATTCAATGAAGGGGAAAAAGAGAAAAATGAAAGGTTTTTAAAAATTATTTTCGTTTTAGGAATAAATTGAAATTTTTAACTTCATTTTTTAAAAAGTAAAAAACAAACAAACCATTCATCAACTCATATTTATAGATCACTGCAATTCTACTGGCTCAGATAGGAGAAAAGAAATCTTCAGTGGTTGAGAAATAATTTGTCCCACACTTCAAAGTGAACTGACCTCTCAGATTTCCAGAATAATATGAGAATTTAACATAGAATTTTAATATGGATTATATTTCTTGAGGATTTTGCCATTCTTCAACCGGTTCTCTGCTCAAAATTATTACAAAATATGTATTAATATATATATATTTCAGGATAAAATGTTTATAAATGCATTTTTGGAAGAATGTGTTTATACCATGATTGTAGCATTTATACAATTATATACTAGTCCAATTTATGGTGTAGTGACAGAGCACATTCTTTATATCAAATTCTGACCAGTTTTATTCTCAAACAGTAAGGGTAGAAATGCTCTTTTCCCTGTTTGAGGAACTGCTTCTGACTAGCAAAATGGAACCAATAGTTCAACACTCTATATAAGAGCACTCTTGATGTTTTTGCAAAGCAGCAGAGTTTAATTATGAGTCAGTGATATCCATCCTCAACTGATAGGCTATGCATATGATTAAGCACATGGAAAGGGGAACTCAGATGCAGGAAACTAATGAACTTGCAGCTCTTTGACATTCTGAAGAGGTCCCATTTTGGAAGCCAGGGCACAACTCAGCTACAGTATTCTTGGTTTGGATAAGCAATGGATTTTATAATTTTTGCTTTCACGGCTTTACAAAATGGCTTTATGCAGCAGACATACACTGGGAATCATGGAAATATGAGTGATATCAACAAATCAACATGACTAACCAGCAGTTTCACCCCAGCTGGCAAATTTGACGGCTTTTCAACATTGGGCTGACATTTTAATCCATTTGTACAGTAAGGTCGCTGGACAGTATTTTCATTCTTAATGAAAGCTTGTAAAGCTACAAAGAGCTACAGATGATATTTTTAAGCATTCTAGATAGGAAATATTGCATGAAACCTTTTCTCTATAGCAGTGATGGTGAACCTTTTAGAAACTGAGTGCCCAAACTGCAACTCAAAGTCCACTTATTTATTGCCAGGTGCCAGGTGGGCATGGCCCACTGGGTGGGCATGGCTGTGGTGGTCATGGCAGATTGGGTGGGTGGGTGTGGCCAAGATGGGTGTGGTCACCTCAATGTTGCTTGTGGGGAGGGATGCCTGTGGGAGCCGGACAGGGTTGGGGGAGATCCAGGGGGTCTCTGGCAGGTGGAGCGGTAGGCAGGAGACTCGTCCTGTGGGGTGAGGCGAGGCAGGGCGGGGGTGCCATTGCCATGGGGCAAGGCAAGGGCCAGGGTGGCTGCTGCCTGACACCATCGGCCCCTGCACACAGAGGCCAGTGAGCGCATGAGGGCCGACGGTGTCCGTCAGCAGCCACAGCCTGCTGGCCCCTCAACTGGTGCACTCTGGGGCTCCGCAGGCCACCGCCAGCAGTTCAAAGAAACCGCCTCTGAGCTGGATGGCCGGCTGACAGCTGAGAAAGTGATGCAGTGGGTCGTGCCTGGGAAAAGGAGAGCATGCGAGTTCAGGAGGTATGGGACGGGGGGAGGGAAACCAGCCATGCCAGGATGCATCCGGCCACGTGGGACCTCTGTGAGTTAGCAAGCGAGTTAGCAGGCAACTGGTTGAAGAGGGACAGTTGCCATCTCCAGGGCATGGTGTACATGCCCACAGACAGGGCTCTGAGTGCCGCCTCTGGCACCCGTGCTATAGGTTCACCACCACTGCTCTATAGCCTCTCTTTAATATAAACACACAGAAAATAGAAAGAGATAGAAAATTCCATATTCACAGTATTACATAAACACTGTTATAATGCTACATTTCACAAAGCAACATCCACTTTCTCTTTTTCCTCCTGCCTGCTCAATCTTCCCATTAAAAATGTAATCCTGGACCAAAAGGAGTCCATTAACTCTGTAAGGTAAATGTCTCCAAGTTTGCAGGAAGGATGTGCTAAATGAATATTGGGAGATATTAAGTGTTGGGAGAACAATTTTTTTTTTAGCTATAGTATAGAATTAATGGACTAAGCAAAAGTAAAGATGTGAACAAGTTTCACATGATACTTACTAGCAATTTGACAAGGTTTCTGACTCCTGTTTGAGATTAAGCTCCTTGTTTTACAGTGCAATAATAGCATTAAGCTATCTGACAAAATACAGATAGTCCCTAAGTGTAATGTATTGGTCACAACTGTTTTGAATCACTTGCTTAATGTCTAACCACTTGTTTGAATGTCTGACCTAGATTCTGATGTTATGTAATGGCTGCTGTTACTTAAGCCAGACTTGCTGTCTCCAGGCTGGTAATTAGGTTTTGGGTGGGAAACTGTTACTTTAAACCTATTGGCTGTCACCTGGAGGCTAACCATATAAATAGCTGCACAGCAGCTATTTGAACTGCTTCTGTGCAGAGTTAAATAAACTTGTTGCTGTTTCAAGACTCGTCTCACTTAATGCCTTCAAGAACTGAATACTTAACAGTGGCGACGAAGGTGGGATGTGCTGCTTCATCATAAGTCACTGAAGTCACTAGGGGGTGAGGCCAGCACAAAGCCTGGAAGGAACTACATTCCCCCCCAGCTTCGGTCTGCCAAGCAAACCATGCTGGAGACCGCCAAGCCCTAAGGATCCATCCTAGGGCCTACGCAGAAGCCAGCAGCAGAAAGCAATGCGAGCAACAAGAAATGCAAGCAACTCACCATGGCGAAAGTAGGGAAACTCGAAGAGTTCAATGTCAACTACCTGGAGCGATGGGCATCCTGCATTTCCCACGTAGAAAACTACCTCCGCGCCAACCAGGTCACTGAAGAAGAACTGAAGGCCGCGACCCTCCTCTGCATGTGTGGCCCTGCCACCTTCGACATTGCAGAAAACCTGGTCACCCTGACGCCACTCGAGTCCATCACCT